GTCCCTAGATCTTTCTACTGTTTGAACCTGGATAATAATCTCCTTGGCTTGAACAGATTATCTTCTGGGCTTGATAATATACATTATCTATTACCTTTAATGCAATGCAAAGGCCCAATTGTAAACTTTTAAATAGGCTTCATGTAAGAGTAGGCGAAGATGGGTAGGATTATAGTCCACAAGGACTGAAACCACTTTCTTTTTGCTCCACTGAGTGCATATCTTCCCTGTCGTCCTGCCTACTCCTTTACCTTTTATCTTGTTCGTCTTTGCCAAATAAACAAGTATAAGCATCAGCTGGAAGGAGACAAGGTGCAAAGAGCTGGCCAGTGACCCCTTTTCTGTCCATCACCTACAAACTGGAGCCTTGCAAACTGACTTGCTGCCAGCCTGGCAAGAAGCGGTGCTGGTTCTCTGGGAGCCCAGGGCCTTGGCCTGACTGCAGGGCTTCAGGCTGCACTAGTGGCCGGGACTTCACGATTGTCAGTGAGTCTGACTGAAAGATGTTCTTCATCTCATTAGTGACATATTTTAGCATTGATGGGAACAAATGAAGGACAGGGAACTTGTTGATGTTAAAGGAGACTTGCACTTGAGTAAGAATCCAGAATTTCTACCACTGCTCCTGCAGAAGCTCCAAATACCAGGAGGATTTCAATTCATGTCTGACTTTCCTTCTCAAGCTCCTCTGCCACCACATCTAGATCACAGGGCTGAAGTAGTGTTATGGCTGGCGCACATGGCCATTCAACCAACAGGGGTCAGCCCAATCCCACACTCAACTGCCTTAATCCCAACTGCCTTTCTGCTTTCATAGAGCCTCCACTAGGCAAAGCTCTGGACACTCCCACTAAGAGCCGCCACCATCAATGCCTATAGACCTAGACGACACCTTGGGTAATCTGGCTTCACTCAGGATTGAGTTTCTAGCTTCCACAATTTCTTTACTTCTAAATCTTGCTATACTATATTCTTCTCAAGAGCAAAAGGGAATGATACATTTTGGAAAAACAGTTGGGAGAATCCAATTCTGTGTTTCAGTCACCCTCTCCCTATTTCTAATTTTTATGTGTTTATTTCAGTGGCCCACAAAGAGAAATTGAGTGCCCCACATCATAAATACATTTTCATGTCCACCAGTCTGAAGCACCCCTCCATTAATTAAAAAAGTACCCTCAAATTGGCAAGTGTCACTGAAGACTTAAATTAGAGAATAAGATTTACTATAGCTGGTAGCTTTTGGACAAAACTGTTTGCCTTTTCTTTCAGTTTAATTATTGAGATCTCTTCATTTTGTGAACAGCACAGATTTAACAGGTGACCCATCTGTATCCTTAACTCTGAGATAGCAATGAAGATTTCTTTCCTTCTTTCTTTTCTTTTTTTTTTTTTGAGTTAGCTTGCTGGCCTGCCTTAGAACGTGACAGGCTGCAGGCTGACCTAACCAATCACACAGTACAAACATGACTTACTCAGCTTGTCTGGAGAAAGAGAATGCAAAATTAGTATTAAGAGAAGACATAAGCAATAGAATAGTTGGTTAAACATTATAGCTTGTAATAAATGAAAATATTGAGTGCATTTAAATGATTAATGTATGAAAACTGTCATCACTTACTGTGCATTAATAAAAGAATGCACACTGCCAATAGTGGTTAATGTTGCAGGCCCATCACTAGGCTTGGGTAGCGTGCATAGTAATGCTTAGTATGACAATGAGTTGGGGTAGCTGAAAATTTAGGATGGTTGCAAGTTTGTGTAGTATTTGGATTAGCATCTTAAACTGTGCCTTGTCAGCCTCATAGTACACAAGCTATACATTTTTTTTCCAAAACTAGCAAAAATATGAATGCATCTTTTTAATTTTTTTACTTTTTTTTTTCTTTTAATTGAGAATAATGACCAAGGTACCTGCTTAAACAAATACTACCAGCATTCATTAGTTAGGATGGTTACATGTAAAAGAAATGATGCCAGATAGTAACAAATCCAAGAGAAGTTTATTATGAAAATGGCACCTGCGGATGAAAAAATTAAGTTACATAAAGACAACCATGTATGTGACATGTATGAGAATCTACAAAAGTATAAAAAGAACCCTGTTGTAAATGAAGTATGTACATTTCTGATTTGCAGCATTATCAATGGTCAATGAAAAAAAATGTTTCAAAATAAGCCAGGCACTCAGGAAGTTAGGTCCGGTTAGCTTCACACAAAACAAATGTATCATAGCTGTCGCTTTGTAATGTTTTAATTTTTATATATATATGTGTGGTAGAGTTGGTAACACTGCTAAGATTTTTACAAACAGAATATCCCTTTCCCCATTATTCAGCTACTTGGCACCAGTCTCCTCATAAAAGTTTTCATATATTTGTACAAGAAATAGTTAAAAACACAGACAGACACAGTCTTCACAGGTAATGAAGTTTTTTTTTTTTTTTTTTCGTTTTGTAATTTTAACACTATGGATTTAGACAGCAGCTGTGATTATCTGTTAGTTTAAATCACCAGAAATCATTTTGACACAACACAGAAACATTTATAAAAGAAAAACAAACAGCTATTTAGCTGTTCTTTGTAGCTGATAGGTGCATTCCTTTGATTGTTCGATAGCTAGAATAGAGCTTCCAAAATTAATGTTTAAATTTTGTGGTTAGCCTTCTTCATCTTCTAAACCTATTAAATCCTTGAACTAAGTTATTAAACGATGACTTTATTTTGTCATTATTCCACAGTGGTTTGGGCCCAACTCATGGAATCAAAGATCCTAGAGGAATTCACTCAACACAGTGATATTCAAAGGACAGCTGAGTTACTATAGTAGCATTGCACGCATAAACAAATATGACAATTCTATATTCCATTATACCTTCCCCTTCTGTTTTAAAAAAATCTTGGTTGACCTTTGAACTAATTTTCTGTCTCACTGGTAATTGCTTTATATATTGCTCCATCAGCCAACCTGGAAGGAAACCAAAGAAAAGCACCCACTGCTTATAGGTAGAGCACAAGGGACTCTGGGAATGTTAACAACTGAGGCTATATGGCATCAATTTATTGAATATATCTGAGCATTACTCTTCACTCTGGAAGAAAGAGTCTTACCAGAATTCCATGTGGGAAAAATGGCTCCATTAACCTTGAGCTAGTTAAGAGTCTTTTTATCTCTGAGAATGAAAAAGGTTTTGGAGAATGGGGAAGGAAATATGAGGAAGGGAAAGGGGAGAGGAGAGGGGGAGGGAAAGATAGGAGGGGTCGGGAGAATATACACCAGCTAGGCAACAGCAGGAATTTTATAAAGTGAAACGGAAGGTTCACAGACAGTAGAAGCAGCATAGGGGTGACATTACAGAGGAAGGCCACCACACAAAAATCACTAACCCCCAAGAATCACTGATTCACTAGGACTGCAGGAATGGGACGGGACCACTCCAGACTAGAGATAGAGCACAGAGAAGACAAAGGACAAAACAACTACATTAGCTTAGTATATACTGCATATAGAAACACACATTGAAACTGCAATGGACGACAGCCAAGGACATGTACACATTGCACACATTACAGTTCTCACATCTGTTATTAGATGCCTTAACAAACAGCTGCCAAAAATGGAGTGGAAGAAGAATTTATACTTGACAGTCATTTGGAGTGTTTGACACTACACTGATTTCTGGCAACAAAGACAAAATAGGGTATTTTTTTCTTTTTCTTTTTCTTTTTTTTTTTTGTACTTAATGTGCAGTTTTCAGTTGCAGTTATCTGTTTGAAGCTTATTAACCCATTCTTTATTTTTAAACTGTATTGGTTCCAACCTAGAAATAAGATAATCCAAGGGAAAAGAAATTCCATCAAATCAAATCAGTCCCCCCAAAATATAAGCTTTTTTTTTTTTTAGCAAGAAATGAAAAAAATTAAAAGATGTTAAATATTTTTCCTCTTTTACTCTGAAGTGTTATTGAAGTTGCAAAAATTAGCCTCAGTTAGACTGAGAAAAGGGGTGGGGGGGAGGAAGCTCAACGAAAGGCAGGATGTACCTAAACTGCTCCTCAAATCAGTTTGATCGAGTTTCCCAAAAGCCCCTTTAAAAAGGGCTTTCCTGACCCATTGCATTTAATGTGAGGCTATGTTTGTTAGTTGGGAGGTAAAAAATTTTAAGTCCTGCAGCAAACGTTAATGAGGGCTTTGTCTTAACTAACCAAGGAGACTGCAGCAATGGACTCCAGACCAGGACAGTACACATTCCCCCCCCCCCCCCCAAAACCCAGCCCAGGAGCTGCATTTTATATGAAGACATTACAGATTAATAAATGATAGCACCATGGTTTTAGAAATTAAGTTAATGTTTCAGTAATTAACATTTAGTCCCACTGTTGTTGTTGTTTTTTCAAACATTCTAGTCACAGGCCAGAAATTAAGTTTAAGAACCCAAATTATTTTTATGTGCAAGTAAGAAAATCTTAAAATCTTAACCATAAAAAGAGAATTAAATTCTGCATAAAATTCTAAAATACTATCCCCTCTATTTTTAAAGGAATTAGGAACAAAAACCAAAAACCACCCCATTTCATTTGACTTAGTCAAACAGGGCACATTGTTTATGCGTGTCTCTTTCAATCTTGATCATATCAAGATCTCGATGAAGAAAACCCAATGGTTGTCACTGGAGAAATCTCTTGACCACAAGACTGAGTATTCTATGGCAGAGGCATATACGCATTAAAGACATCTTAATAAAGATGCAAAGGAAAGCAAAACAACCCAACACACATCTTAGAAGAAGACAAAACGGCAGGCAACTGGTCCTCGGACCCTCTGAAGGCCAAAAATAAACATATCTTTACAGGAAAGAATAAGTCAAGTTAAAGAAAGGGGGGCCGGGATGGGGACCGTCGTGTGGAGAGGTGACGCTGACCTGCTCAAATTCAAAGTGCTAGAATAAAGGTCTAAACGAAAACGCCCGATGCCTCCACGCCGAGCGCCCGTACGAGGGCGCCTCAGTCGTCCTTGCGCTCCAGAGTCTGTGCGGCGTGGATGCCGTTGCTGTAGACCGGGAAGGGCAGCGTGGAGAAGAGCCCCTCGGCCGTGGTGAACACGTTGCCCGCGGGCATCTGCGTCAGGCTGGCCGCGCTCACGGCGCCGCCGAACGGTCCGGACATGTTGAGCCGGTGCACGTGGTGGTAGAGCATCTCCATGGGCGTCTTGGGGTCGAGGCCGAAGCCCGGGCTGTTAACGTCCACGAAGTTAACAGCGTGCGCGTTGGGCAGCAGGTTGCCCTGCATGGCCAGGGTCACCTCGGCGGGCGCGTAGCGGATGGTGCCCGTCGTGTAGACCCTCTGCGCGGCCGTGCTGGTGGCCGCCAGGGTCCCGGTCACCCTGTGCACCAGCGGGAGCACGACGTTGCCCGCCTGCAACCTCTGCAGCGCCTCCAGGTCCCCCGTGTACAGCAAGGAGTTGGACGCGCTGGGGCCACCCCCGCTGCCGCCGCCGCCGCCGCCGCCGCCGCCGCCGCCGCCCCCCGGGTGCTTGTCCCGCGGGGATGCTGACAGCGGGGGGGACAGGGGGTCGGAGGTGACGGGGGCCAAGGCCGAGGTGGCCGAGGCGCCAAACTGAGTCTTGCGGGTGGCTGCGCTGTCTGCGCCCGGCGGGGTGAGGACCGAGTCGGGGATGGCCACGTGCAGGCCCCCGCCGCCCCCGCCCCCGCCGCCCGCGCCGCCCTGACCCTGCGGGGATGGGAAGTGCTCGGAGTTGGGGGGCTTGGTCATGCTGTAGGGGGACTCGTTCCTGGAGATCTCCCTGTTGGGCGGGTAGTTCCAGATGCTGCTGTCGTTGTCGAAGTTGATGGGTTCGGAGATCTCCGTCTTGATCTTGAGCACCGAGGCACTGTTGGGGGAGGACAGCAGCCGCGGGGGCTCCACCAGGCCCGCGTCCAGGCCCGGGCTTGACGCGCTGGACAGGCGCCGGCGGCTGGCGCTGCCGCCCTTCTGCCGTTTCCGCCTCTTCTTGCGCTTCTGGTGTTTGCTGGAGGCCTGCGCGCCCGCCTCGCCCGCGCTGTCCGAGTCCTTGGCGCTGTCCGACGTGAGGGACTCGCAGTTCTGCAGCCGCAGGTCCGACTCGCTCTCCACGTAGCGCTCCACCTTGATCTGCATGGGGCCCAGGGCACTGAAGCCTTCCTCGCCCGCCTTGGGGTTCTCAAAGTCCGAGTGCTCGAAGCTGTCGTCGCTGTCGCGACTGTCCGGATTGCTGGAGCTGTGGCCTTGGTCATTGCAGTTCATGTCCTGGTCGCACGTGCTGCCCGACTTCTTCCGGTCGGGCTCCGGGTCTTCGCTGTTCTCAGACTGGTTCCCCTTCTCATCCGACTTGGAGTTCTCGTTGTCCTCTGCGTGGGGCCGCGGGGGGGCCGGGCGTGGCGGGAGGGGAGGAGGAGACAAAGGAGACACCACATTAGCAGGGACAGGCTCATCTCTCACCTGCTGGGGGTGTGGGGGGATGTGTTGGCCCTGAGCTGCTCCACCACCTTGTTGCCCCGCTTTCTCTCTTGAGGGCCTAGGTTAGCTGGACCTCTACGCAACGTGTGGTCCATGGCCCAGCAGCACTGGCCGGACTGGACGCTTGCTGCAAATGCAGAGTCCCAGGCCCCCACCCATCAGATTTTTGTATTTGAATATCCCTAGACAGTGGTCGGCAAACTCATTAGTCAACAGAGCCAAATATCAACAGCACAACGATTGAAATTTCTTTTGAGAGCAAAATTTTTTAAACTTAAATTATATAGGTAGGTACATTGTTATTAACTTAATTAGGGTACTCCTAAGGCTTAGGAAGAGCCACACTCAAGGGGCCACAGAGCCGTATGTAGCTCTTTGCCCACCACAGCCCTAGGAGATTCACAGGTACATTAATGATCGAGAGTGCCTGCAAACCTACTCGAGGGAGTCAGAGTAAATATCTTAGAATAAGGTGTGAGTAGCACAGAAAAATGGTGTGTAAGGTGATTGTCTAAAGAGGTCTTGCACCTTCCACGGGTGACTAACCGTTCATTGAAAACCATATTCTTTTCCTAAAGTTATTTTTCTCTACAGTATTTACCCCCATCTGATCCACCGATATGTTGTATTCATTTTTATTTACTTCTATCTCTTCCAACTAGAATATAAGCTCCGTGGGGCAAGGCATGTTTGCCTTTTTGACCCACTGTATAAATGAGGAGCAGAGGCCGTCTATTCTAAAACTTCTGCCCCAGCACAGAACTTTCAAATGAATGCAATTTAGGGGATAGGAAAACAGTCATATCCTCCCGGGCTTCCCTGAGGCTGTGTCTGGAGTGGCGGGATATTGTTTACAAACCTGGAGAGTAGTGCCCTAAGGCTGGGGAGCGGCCCAGAACCCTAGCTGCCCAACACATTTTAGGCAGAATAGATTTTCCCAGGAATACAACCTCAGAAGACTTAGGGATGATGCTGGTTTTATGGCTCTGCTGTGATGCTTTTGGATGGCAGCCTGGACTAGAACCTTGAACAAAGCATGTAACTACTCTGGCCTTCCTTTCCGTGGCCAAAGAGGTTGGGTTAGAAGAGGCTCAGGGTTTTGGGCAGCTGTGAGATTCCGTGAGGTTAGTGCTCCCTGGCTCTGTGTGTCTGTGAAGGGGCCTAGGGCTTGGAGGGAAGGTAAATTTTTTATATTAATTTTCCTGTCCTCCAAAGAACTCAGAAAGCCGACTTCCCAAATAGCTAGAAATGGGAAAGCATGGGTTTGCTTTACAGAGATTCAGGAAACGAGTAACAGCCCAGCACCTGAGTCATTACCAATGGCATTAAGTATCTCACTTCAGAGGCTTCGCTCCAGCTTGGTGAGGATGTGGATATTTGGGGTGCATAGTCACAGTCTGTCTTTGAGCATCAGAGACAGCCCTGCTATCTGCTTCTGGTAAAGAGGCCAGCCCTCACTATGGGGTTAGGGCAGGGCCCCTTCTGTATGGCCAGTGGAGGACTGACATGAGGTATATTTGTGTACATATATTTATACACTACAGTATATCTATATGTATGTAAACACATCACAACATACATATAAGTATATATGTATACACATAGATGTATGTATATATTCATACACTATCACATGTAAATATAAGTATTGTATATGTATACATACACATATGTGTGTATACATATATGTGGCGGTATAAGTACAGTGTTTGTATGCATATGTGTGTAGAAGGAGAGACTCAGTAATACCTTGAGGCGGCATATGTCTTAATATAAAATCTGACCAGTTGCTGTGCTCTGACGGTGGCCCTCTGCCGTGCCCCACCCCTCGTGTTCGGAAAGGCAAGCCGTAACTGCAGAACACGAAGAAGCAGTAATACCTGTAATACCTGAGGTGTCTTTAGAGTCTGACTCAGAGTCCGATGTCTCCGAGGATTCCGAGGTTTTCTCTGGCAGATGCGGGAGCTGCGCGATGTCCATCGGGGTGTCCTTGTACTCGGGGTTACTGCGGGAGGGAGGGAGACTTGTGAGGAGTGCAGGCACCCATTCTGTATAGTTTGCTTTTCACCATATTCTTCCCATTTCCTCACCCCAAACTTTTGGAGTTTAGAGAGCGTAAACGACTAAATGTGAAGTAATTTCTCTGTTCATCATGGCAATTTTACAGAAGCCTGGAAGCCTGTGCTGGGGCACAGGTGCGCCCTGCTACGATGATTGAATACCCAAATACTACGTGAAAGCCACTAACAAGCTTTTACTTAATCAGGTACCACTGGGGGCCAGGGAACTGTGCTGCTTGACATTCCTCGCAGTAGAACACCTGGGGGGAAAGGAGGAGGAGAAGTGCTCTCAGCAGTTCCCTCCCATACCTCCTGGGGTGCCCTGACTTCTCCTGGGCTCCTCATGAGTCCATTGCCTCAGTACCCTTTTCTTGGCTCCTTGATGGAGCTTCTCAGTTATTCAGATGGCTCCAAAGCTGTGGGGGGTAGGGGCAGAGCCCTGAGTGCCTAAGATCTGACAGATGCACAGGTGCATCCTGGGATGCGTGGATTATGGCTACTGAACTGTCAACACACCCATTACAATCACATTTTCATCTGTTCATGTGGTGTACACCTGTAGCTTGTTAGCTGGGAATCTGATTGCGGTGGGGAGTGTCCCAGTGTGAAAGAGACCCTAACAGAATGGATCTAACCCCACTTGCACAAACGTGTTTAATTTTTGTTCCATTTTAAATTCAGAAACAAGCCTTTTCTGGAAAAGAGAGGATATTCAGTCAAATTTGAGTTAGCTGTCTTCTAAAAATGCCACTCCAAGTCTGGCCCAAGGTATGAACAGTACAGGCTACTGTAACCGGAAGCCACAAAGAAAGTCTCTTGCCTCAAAATGGAAGATGCCTCTGCTATACTTCCATAATGGCTAGTCAACCAGAAGCTCGCAATAGAGGATTACCGAATCACTTGCTAATTTCTAGTGGAATTCCTACATTAAAGAGTCACTGGTTCAGTAACTAAAATTGCAACTGTCTCTGAGAGGGTTAATTCACTGAGATGGATTATCAGGAGCATACTCCTTAGTGTGAATTAGCTTCAGCAGCGGTGCTTTCTCTAGGTAATCAGATGAGACTAATGGTGGGAAGGTAGCCTTAGCACTAATGCAGTTTCTGAATACAAGTCTGTAATTCTACCAAGCATTGTGAGGGAATCGGAGGAAGACTGGGGAGTAATCATTTCAGAACAAAGAAGAACAAGCCTAGATGGGGCCCAGAAGTGAGAGATTCTGAGGAGGAAGAGGGAGCATGGAAATATTGCTCAAGGAAGAACAAAGAATAAGAAGGCGGGAAAGAAAAGCAAACTTGAATAGTTGCTGTTTGCCAAGGCCAGGAACTTTTCTTACCAGATCTCTAGCCTACAGAAGGGATACCAAGGAGTTAGCACTTGGTAGAGTTTTTACTGCTAAAGCCCATCTATATTAGTCTCCTTTGGTCCAGATGGCTTGGAGGTTCACAGGTCATTTGACACTGATGGCCTGTAATTATTGAACTCAAGGGGAGTCTTTAGGTTAGCTGACACAGGTCTAGCATGTCTGAGATTGAGGCTCTTGAGCCTGAAGACTTGCCTTTGGTACCCAATCTGATTCCTTCCTCTCTATATGTAATTAGATGAACCAGAGTCACCAAACACTCATGAGCTTGTGCCATGTGGTCCTAGGCTAAACAAACAGTGTTCACCCAAAGCTGCATGGACTGACCTCTCCTTAACCCTTCTCATGCCCTCCATTTGGAGGCAGAGTAGGAAGTCATGAGGCTGAGGGTGCAGTAAGGAAGATCCAAATAGGAAGAAATCGCCCTGAATGGGAGCAACAACCATATAGATTGTTTTAGTGCCCTAGAATACATCACCGTGGGAAACAGGCATCTTCTTATCCGTGGTGTCTCTGTTACCTTGTGTCTAATTCTTAATAATAATGGGTCTCCTTGGCACAACTCCAGTTTTTGCCCAGCAAAATACTGTCAATGCCATAGTATCTTATCCTATTTCCTCTTTGGCATTAAGTTTATAACCTTCTGCCTGACATATTGCCACTGTTCCATAACCTTTATATAAAAAGATTTCTTGATGCCACAAACACATGATTGCATGAAATTCAGGCCTTGGAGGAATCCACATTAAATACACATACCTTTAGAGAGAATTGATGTAGAGTAGAAGAGGTCAAAAATGGGGAAAAAAGTAGATAAATGAAGACTCTTTTAAGTGGTGCACATTAAAGCCCTCTCTAGAGCAATAATCATTAGTGTCTGATTGATATGCTATTGGTAGCAAGCACATTCATGCCTTCAAGTCATCACCAACGTGCACGAACACACTCTGAAGGGTCAGCGTGCTGATGAGCCATGGTTGTCAGCATCTCAGCTTCATTTGGCTGTCTCAAAGAAAAATGGGATTCAAGTACTCCCTGTCTAGATTATCAGCCAAAGGGTAACAACTTCCATTCATAAGACCTATTGGAAGTTTTCCTACTCAGACCATGTGTGGGCCCTGCTTGGTGGCTGCAGGCCAAGGGAAGCCAGAGATGGGAATGACAGTGGTGGAAGGGAGCCAGCTGAATGTTCAGATAGCTCCATGACAGGATTGGTGGAAAACCTCCCACAAAGCTTGCCCCCAAATGCAGACCACCCAGGCTTTGGTCTTGGCTATTTTTTTTGCTAGTTTGAATCCAAAGGTAGAAAGGAGGAAGGACTGAGAAACGGTGCTGCATGCTAGAATTTAGGAAGCTTTTGAGTGTGGCCACATTCATGGATGTCAATTTGAGGGCACATTAAAAAAGTTGTAAAACTTGCCTGAGGTCACAGAATAAGCAAAAGAAGGTTGCCTTCATTTTTATACTGATACTAGAGCAGCCGTGGGCAAACTACGGCCCACGGGCCGGATTCGGCCCGTTTGAAACGAATAAAACTAAAAAAAAAAGACCGTACCCTTTTATGTAATGATGTTTACTTTGAATTTATATTAGTTCACACAAACACTCCATCCATGCTTTTGTTCCGGCCCTCCGGTCCAGTTTAAGAACCCATTGTGGCCCTCGAGTCAAAAAGTTTGCCCACTCCTGTACTAGACTAAGTGCATGAAATTTGTGCACTTGGGAGGGGGGTCCTTCAGCCTGGCCTGCACCCTCTCAGAGTCCGGGAGCCCTCGAGGGATGTCTAACTGATGGCTTAGGCCCCCTCCCTGTGGGGAGCTTAAGCCAGTAGTGGAACATCCTCCTGCATTGAGTGTCTGCACCCTGGTGGTCAGTGTGTGTCATAGTGACCCGTCGTTCAGCCTTTCGGTTGATTTGTATATTACCCTTTTATTATATAGGATTATCTTGATTCTAGCAAAGCAAGTTACTATACTGGGGGATTCTAAGGCATGGAATACAGGAGAACTATAACGTACCTTGCCTAATTCCATCCCCTTTTGCTTAATTTTCACAAGGATTGGAGTGTGTGAGTGTGTGTATATACGTGTAGAGAAGGGGGTGCTTTTGAAGGCATCAGTTTTAGGCAAACATCTATATTCTTTTTATGGCCTGAACATTTTTGGGGAAACCAAAGCAGCTTCTGCAGAGCTTTCCAAATGTTGACAGACCAAGCATTATTGACAATGTTGTGAATTTGCCCTGGAAGTCCCTTCCAACATAGCTTTGATCTTTTCACATTTCTTTGACTCTTGTGGAAAGAAAAGCAGAATTTCCACATAATGGCACACTTGATACTGTCAAGAGATAATACAACATGCCAGTTACTAACCATTGGGATGCCTATTTTATGACTGAAAGAGAAGCAAACAAGAATTAGAAAATATACCTAAGAAGGTAATTCACCCAGATGATGTTCTTCTCATTTGCATTCTTGGCATTAATAGCTATGGTGGCACTAGACTGTATCCAGATATAGCCTCCATTCTTCTGCATCCAACGGTAGTACTTCGTCACACACTGGCCCTTATTCAGCACTGGGGGGAAAACAAAACAGAAGGCCCTGCGTATTAAGACTGGGACCAGATGATTGTCATGTCTGCAAAACCTCAAGCTTAGAAAGGGGAGGACCGCACTGAGCCAGGGTGGCTCCCTCTATGCTTAATGTAGAATGCCATTAGCAGAACAAATAAAATCAACAATTCAGTGGAGCAGCATCTCCCCAGTGAGGGTTGCTAGCATTTGCAGCAAAACTTTGTTCCATTTTGGGCAGCCATGGAGTGGAAGGAAGAATAAAAGGACTACAAATCTTTTTGGCTCACAGAATACCTAATGCAGTGTGGATATTGTCAATGGGCTCGCCATCAGATGGCAACAAAGGCAAATGTGTACAGATTTATTCATAGCTTCGAGGTAGACCTCTTTGAGATTCTGGGTATTCAAGTCGCTCCGAAGATACTTTACCCCTCCTTTGATCGTTCACCTCATGCGAGCGAGCAGTGTCAGCCAGCGCCCTTGTGCATCTGTTCCTTTTGATCTTGTGCAACAGAATTTATGGTCCACGTATGAACTAAATTTACATTGGTCAGTCAGGGGAAATTCTGGTGAGACTTTACGGAATGTTGGAACAAAATAAATTTCCCAGCCGAGTCAGAGAGAAATGCTGGCCTAAGGGAGGCACGGAATTGACTTGGCTGGAGCCAAACAGTGACAGCTCCACACAGACTCTGAAATATGGCCCCAAATGAAGGAACAAGTAAAAACAATCAGTAATGTGAAACGGTGCCATTAAATACCCACTGAAAGAGAGCTTTAAAATGCAGATGTTAAAAATGATACTTTAACCAAAATCTTGCCAAGTCGAAATTGATTTGACTTGTATCTGGGTACTCCTGAGCTAGTAAAAGGGGGAAATGCACTAAATCATCCCTGAAATAAAGTGCTATGGGTGGGAATGGTTTAAAAAGATGCCGGAAACGTGCAAATCCTCTGCTATTGCTTGGATACGCGTGGCAGCGACTCCACACCCCCCAGCAGCCTGCCAACTGGCTGGCCACTAGAGGGCAGTGTGCACTCGTCCACATCACCCACTTTTGGCATGTCCTTGTCTCTGTCTGCTAAAATGAAAAAGCTCTAACTGCTGTAATAAATTTGGCTAAATTAGCTGCTAAATGGTTATCTCAAGTAATATGTATTTGCATTAATCATCTTGCTCTAAACCAGAACAAGCCAGAGTCCTAAAGACGTAGTAAATTCATATTGTCCATTTAATTACGGCTAATAAGTGCTTCATATACAATAGTTTCATGAAGTACATTTTGATTTTTTTTTTTTTTTAGCGGGGGTGGGGGGGAGGGTAGAGGAGTAAAGGGAAGTCACTTTGGAAAATAGCTGTGTTTAAGGCTGTTGAAGCACTTTGCTGTCATGTCTGAGCCACTCTTCCTGACCCCTGAAAGCGATCAAAAATCAAACCTCCACCTATTATACCCATAAACATATAAACTTCAATGCCTTTCTCCCATTTCTCACTTTTTCTCACAACACACTAAATGGATGGTTGTAAAGTTGAATAATTATATATCTTAACAGTTGCTTGAGAAAGCCTTGCTTTGATGAGGGCTTCAAGTAGTAGCAAGTTCTATTCCATAACCATTGGACAGCTTAGGCTGGTTCTAAGTCCCGGGACTGTCATTGGCTGGTGGCCAGGCTCCACAGGTAGCATTGCACTCGCCTTTTGTGGGCGATTGTAAGTTCTGCCATTCTGCATGCATGGCTTCCCAGGCTACAAGACCGCGTGGTGAAGCTGAGAGCAGTAAAATACTGACTCTGCCACACAGCTCTCTGTCAAGCTATTGTTGCCTGCAACGAGATGTGCTTTATTCAAATCCTCTCAACCTGGTTAACTGTTAATAGAGGAATGATGGGTTATGAAATTCTGCCCACTATTTTCACAGAGAAAGTTGATAGCCCCCAGTCAAGGATTGGTGTATAATTCTATCAGCTGTGTAACGGGAACAAGGAGTTATTCTGAATGGTTCTAGTTATTTAACAAAGGCAAAGAGTCTAACAAGTCCATTTTTGAAGCACATGAAGAAAACACTGAGATGGTAGACCACTTAGATGGCTGGGGATTCTGGATTTTTGACCCAAAGCAGGCACATTTAAAATACATGTATATCACCAGAATACTTTGCATAGAAAGGGTCAAAGTGAGAATGGAATTATAGTCAAATTAGAATGTACAGAATCAACATAAAGATCAGCCCCTCTTCTTAATACTTTCTCTTACTTAAAGACAATCAAAGAAACAAAAATCTCAAATTTGAAATGCAAAGCCAGCAAAATGTTTCCCTCCCTGCTGGGATCCCTGCTATGCGATGGAAGGGTGGTGTCATCTTTTTGCGTTAAGGCAGTTTGACTCTTGGTGTGCTTTAGTGCATCTGTGCTTCCTGAGAAGATAAAAACAAATTTATTATGAATGAATGAATGAATGAATGAATGAATACATTAATAGAGCCTTCTTCATCACCCAGGCCCAGGGCCATCTAGTAAAGGGGGGAGACCTACTGAAAGAGTCAGGCCAGGTAAATTTTGATGTGAGGAAGTGGTTGTGAAAGGTGAAAGGACTGACAAGGGGTTCCTTGGGCGTCAGGAGCTAGTTGAGTGCCTCAACTTACCCTGGTGAATGCCACAGAGCAGATATGGGAGCCCACCTTTGGTAGGCTGAAGAAAAGTTTGACTTAATCCATTACTCCCCCCCACCCCCACCCTACCCCCAACCAGCCTGACAAACAGAATTCTTAAAAGGTAACCATTTTACCATGGTCTTAGATCATAACTGTTTCCTAAGGATTAGTGTTTTCTGAAGGAGACCCCACGTGCTGGTGGGAATCTACATACCTAGGATAAGGCACTGAGTTAGCTCCCACTGTGGCATCCAGTGATGACCAGAGTGTTGCCCAGTTGCTTTTGTTTTTCAAGAGGCCCCATAAAGGAGGTGATAGTGGAATTTTGCTTCGTTTAAAATAAACAAGAAAAATATTTTTCTTGGGGCTCCAGAATATAAATCTATGACTTTTGGATGAAACTCCCCCTCTTTTTTTTTTTTTTTTTTTTTTTTTAAATCATATTGGCATATCAGCTAGATCATTCCAGCTGGTCCAGAGGCAGGGTCTGCCAGCCTTTCCTGAGCTCACCTTGAAGGAGATTTTTAGTTTGTAATAAATTAGACACTTTGAAAAACACAAAAACTTTTTTGATTCTCTTTAACCCAGTAGCTGTTGTTTTTATTTTTGAGTTTTAGCTTGTGATAGAAATGAGAGGGTGTTTGTATCAGTGTATTTCATTAAGGTTTTTTTTGTTCTGTTTTGTGTTATTTTTTGTGAGGAAAAACAGAACTAAACATGATGTAAGTCATTTGTTGTGAAAGTCCTTAAAATATGGTTAATTGTCCTTTGAAAAGAGTCTGGGAGTAATTTCATAACAATGTGCTCAAATTATAAAGAATGGAACTAGAGAGAGAGGAAATGCATGTGTGGGCCCTATTTTTAACCTGACGTCATGATGTGGTCGGACACTTAACCTAGCATCTTCTTTGTGATTTATGCCCATGTCCACTGCTTGCTTTCCACACTTTTTGGTGGTGCAGCCTGTGTGTCCCTCACTGAATTCATTAATCACATCATCACATCTGTAGAATTACATCTTTAAAGTTGTGCTATAGGAATTAGTTTTTATTAAAGGATCCCCAAACATTGAAGTGGTCTTTCCTTAGCTTTTATAGGACAAACATGAATACAGAAGGAGGATGAGGACCTCTTTCCCAGGGTCCCTTACAACCTCAAAGGGTCCCAGGTGTGTCTGCGAACACCTCTGCTACCACGTAGAGCCTGCTCCTTTTTACCCTGAAGTCTAGGGTGTAACCACTGCTGTGTCTGCCATCACTACGAGGAGAACCATGAACCTGGCATCAGTACCACCTACCTTCCAAGCTAAAGGTGCCTGCGTAACAAACCGTGTTCTTCAGAGGAGAGAGGCGACTCCACTGTGAGAACAACACAATACAGACCAAGAGCCGTAGCTCCTCCTGGCTGCACTGTTCCAGGCCTGCTCGTCTCACTAGCCATGGCTGGCGGCATCAGAACACCATCCACCCCAACCGTGAAGGGGGTGGCGAATATGGTTCAATCAAAAGGAAATTGCAGCGAGCCAACGTTACAGAACACGTGGCTTTTTACATCAAATACATCCCTGCCCCTCCTTCCCCATTCCCCAGCCAAAGACTGATGCTCAGTATTATTCAATATCTTTTTTAAATGTTACCAGTTCAATGGGTTTGAGCTTGCTGGTAGGGATGCAAGAAATGTACTGTTGTCCCCCCAAACCTGACGGCTTTTGCTGAAGCACACGGCCATGGCTCTGCAGTTACCAACAAAAGCGGTTCAGTTGTGTTTTTTTTGGGAAAACTTGGTCCACAAAGATAGACTGAGGACTGAAAGGACATAAAGGAAGCCTGTGTCTGTGGCAGGAACATAATTCTGTTCGTAAATCAAAACAAATCGGTCCAAGTTTGCCTTCAGAAATATGGAGAATAAAAGAGAACATGGTCTCTTCCTGTTGGGCTGTTCTACAAAATCAAAGCCAAAGACTCTAAATAGTGAGTTACTTGTGTCTTAGAAAGAAGGAAGCAGTCTAATTCAGCTTGAAGAGGAGATGGAGAACACGCATCAAAAGCGGCCTTTTAGCGAAGTGTCTCACAAAAGGACATTTTAGTGGTTTGCATATGCATTAAAAAGCTGCAATACTTGGCGTATTCAGGTAAGTATAGAATAAATAGGAAATGGTGAGATCATCGGAGATTTCACACTTCACATTCACAGGGCTGAACAAAGAGCTTCATTATCGCCGTGGTGATAGGAGGACGCATCTGCCGCGCCATTCACCCCTCCTGAGGTACCTTCATCAATGGCTGCAGAGAATGGAGAGCAGATGCCTTGTGCTGGAACTCAAAAATTATTTTGAATTCACTAATGTGGAG